ACTCAACCACAATTTAAGAAATGAAGAATACTCATTACTTATGACGTCACCTCATCCCTTGTAAGTTTTACTCTAAAATATATAAAGATATAAAAATAAATATAAAAATTACTAATTGGTTTTGCCATCTGGTTGGCTATGATTTAAACCATGGTTTTTCATTACTGTAATTTTCATTGTTTGGATGGAAATGGTTTTGATTTCAACCATGCCTATACATTTGATAGACATCTTTCATATTGTATACATGTAGAAAAGTATTTTCACAATTATAAGTTTTACCATTTGATTGGCTTTGATAGATTTCAACCATGTTTTTTTATAACTATATTTTTTATCGTTGGTTGGAATTGGTTTTGATTCCAACCCACGACTATAGATTTCAAAGACATATCTCTTTTTCCAATCTATCATTTTTCTACCAACATAGAAAAATCAAAACACACCACATTTCAATATTTGAGAATACTCAAGTCTTATAATGTCACCTTACAATGCTTGGTTGATCTTTTAATAAGATTTGTTTTATATAATAAACGTTGTTTTGCAAAAATAGGGCCATAAAAATAAGACAACTCATGAGTCAAACCTCATTAGTTGACACAATTATCATCTCATCCTTCATTCTTATACATGTCTCTTTATTATATTCTTTCAAATTCTCACCAAGTGAGATATCTAAAACTCAACAACAGTTCACTATTTGGAAATACTTCATTCTCATAATGTCGGCTCAATACCTCTCTGTTCTTCATTTAATACCACTTCATTCTTTGTGTAATTTATTTTAATATACATAAAGATAAAGAGTTTTTTATTTTGTATGATTTTTTTTCTTGCTAAAATGAGGTTGGCCAAAATGAATAAACTCATGAGTTCGGAGGGTTGGCCCAAATGAGCCAACAATGTGAGTTTAGATGATTGATCAAAAGGAGCCAACATCCGAAGTTGCCATAAAAGCATCTCAAATTTCCCTTTAAAATACTTATCATTCGTTGTAAATATTTCATATCTTCATCAATGTGGGATACACAAACTCAACCATAATTCAAGAAATGAAGAATGCTCACTTCTTAGGATGTCACCTCATTTTTTGTGGATTTTACTTTAATTATATATATAAAGATATAGATAGAATATCACACTTTATTTCATTTTTTCATCAATGTGAGATTTCCAAAAGCCAACCATAACGCAAGATTTTAAAATACATCACTATCAAGATGTCATCTCAATATTTTAAAATCATCTTTTTATATGGAATAAACAAACTTAACCACATTTCAAGATTTAAGATCAAATCTCAAATTAACAATTGCAAGTAAAAGGGTTGACTCATTTGAGCCAAAAACATGACTTGCAACAAAAAAATCATCTCCTCTAATTTATTTTACGGATTCCTTTCCTATTTATTATAATTTTATCCATAGACAAAACTTCRAATCATTTTTTCTCGAGCCGTACGAAGAGAAAACTTCCTATACGGTTCTAGGGGGGGGTTCTTTTTCATCTACATCTATCCCGATGAGCCGTCTATCGAATCGTTGCAATTGATGTTCGATCCCRAAGAGAAGGAAGAGATCTTCGGAAAGTGGGTTTTTATGATCCGATCACGAATCAAACTTATTTAAACGTTCCCGCTATTCTCTATTTTCTTGAAAAAGGCGCTCAGCCTACAGGAACTGTTCAGGATATATATATATATATATATATATATATATATATAGAAAGATAGATATACATATACATATATATATCTATCTATATAGGGCCAAGATCAAATGCTAACCATCATTTTTGTGTTAACCTTATTAATTGATCTTGGACATCCAAATCTATAATCAACGGTTAAGATTAATTAATAAAAAAAATTAAATTTTAAAGTTTGAATTTTAATGAGGCCTAGTGAACAATGATAAAAGGGGCATTTTGGGAAGAAAAAATACACTTATCAAGGGTATTCTAGTAAATTGAATTCATTTGTAACCCCCAAACAATTAATGGGGAGTTACAAATAATCAAATCCCAAAAAATATGCATTCATATTATTATTATTATTATTATTATTCTTTTACTATTGATCTTCCATGTTCATTCTTGTATGAATTCTTAAATCGCATAAGAAACACGATATTGATCAATTTGAACACAAATGAACCGTGAACACAATTGAACACAACTGAACCGTGAACAAGATATGAATACAAATGAACACGATATGTGCAATTTTTGACCCATATATTCACATACATAGACGTCCCACAAAATTAAGGTAGCATCTGTTAATTTGTGTTCATCTGTTAATTTGTTCAAATTGTGTTCACGGTTCATTTGTGTTCAAATTGTGTTCACGGTTCATTTGTGTTCAAATTGTGTTCACAATTGTTCATTTGTGTTCAAATTGTGTTCACAGTTCATTTGTTTTCAAATTGATCAATACCGAAAATCGTTACTACCGTATTTCTTATGCGATTTAGAAATTCATACAAGAATGAACATGGAAGATCAATAGTAAAAAAAAATTTATAATATGAATGCATATTTTTTGGGATTTGATTGTTTGTAACTCCTCATTAATTGTTTGGGGGTTACAAATGAATTCAATTACTAGAATACCCTTGTAAGGGTAAAATGAACAATACATAAACCTATAAGAATAATGAAATTTGATTGGTTGAGAGGGTTTTCAAAGTTAACACAAAAATAATGGTTAACATTTGATCCTCTAGACTTTCAGAATACTCAAATTTTATGATGTCACCCCAACTCCGATTATTGTTCCTCTATAATAATAATATCTTCTTACCAATGTAGGAAATCTAAACAACACTATAATTCATGACTCTGAAAATACTCAAATTATATAATGTCACCTCAACTCCGATTGTTGTTCTTTCATAATAATAAAAAACTATCACTAAAAATTAGAGGTCAAACAATAGCTTACATAGATATATTGCTCTTTTAATTTTCAAACCATCACATGCTTATTTTATATATACCTATCATACTCGATCAATGTATCATTTTTTCATCAATGTGAGATTTTCAAAAACCAACCACAACGCAAGATTTTAAAATAAACCACTCACAAGATATCATCTCAATATTTTAAAGTTATTTTTGTATATGATATAAACAAAGTTAACCACGTGTCAAGATTTAAGAAAAATACTCAAATCTCATAATGACAATTGCAAATGAAATGGTTGACTCATTTGAGCCAACATCATGACTTGCAACAAAAAGAATCACCTCTTCTTTTCATATGTATACACATTTTATTCCTTCTACTTTTTTTTCTTCCACCAATGTGGGATAAACAAATTTAACCACATTTCAAGATTTGATGAATACTCAAATCTCATAGTGCCATGTCATTCTAGTTGGTTTCTCCTTTAATATATGTATATAGATGTCTACATTACTATTTTAATATGTAAGTGTCCACTTTCGAAAGTTAATATCTATGTTCTCATTCTACTCTTAGTTATGAGATGAATAAAATTTCTCCCTATGTATATTAAGAGAAAATTATTAATTTTTTGTTAATTAAAAAGTACGATAATTATACATTTTTAAAGTTGTCTTTTTCAGCAAACCCCGACTCAGCGTCACACGTTCTCCAGGTCCTATTGTAGACATTGATTTTGGAAGGGTAGGAGTACAATTTAGCCTCGAAAAATACAAAATCACTAAAAGCAAAACTATTTTGCGAACTATACCTTCGTTTGACAAGTGGTGAATTAGGGTTTTGTTTTTCGTTTTTTCCGTTGAACAATAAGCATGTGGCATGTCGCTTGTTTGACATGCGGTTAGCTCACAAAATCCATACAATTAGTAAAACCATTTTGTGATTCCCGTTGCTATTTTGGTTATCTGTTAAACTAAAATGTAACAGAGATTAGGACATATTTAATAGATTCTTTAACAAAGAAAATGAAAATTTTGTTTTCTATTTTACTGCAATAAATTTTTCTATATTATTATTTAAAATAAAATAAAAAATCTAAGTTTAAAGAATTTTCTAAAATTTAATATGACACAAAGAATTTCTTTGATTCTTCTGAATTACTGTTGTTTAATATAATTAAAATTATAAAATATTTTAATAATATAATTAAGAGTAAACTAAAAATTTGGTTTCTATGATCTGTTGAAAATAACACTTTTTGTCTATACAATTTCAAAATTACAAGATGACAATTATGGTTTGTAAAAATGTCCAGATTTGATCATTTTCTCTAACGGCTATTAAACATCCCGTTAAAAATAAGAGACATTTTCATCTTGTTATCGTTTTTTATCTTTTACTCGATAAAAAACTACGACCAAAATTATAAATAGATTTTAATTGGATAAAAGATAACTAAAACAACGAAAATATCCTTCATCTAATGTGATTCTTTTATGACCGTTAAAAAGAATGATCAAATTCAAACGTTTTTAAAAATCAAGATGGTTATGATGTACTTCGAAACTAATATGGACCAGATTTGTTGTTTACTCTATAATTATCCCAATTTAGTATGTGTTTGGGATTGCTTATCAACTTATTATAAGTAAAAAAAGTTTAACTTCTTCAAAAACTTCTTATTACCGGTTTGACACTGATATAAGTTGTTTATCCAACACTCAAAATGTTTGTTATCGATGTCACACCAAAATAAGGTGGTGTTTGGGATTGCTTATTTGAAACAACTTATGCGTTTCTACAAAGACATTTATCAACTTATTATAAGTTAAAATAGTTTAACTTCTTCAAAAACTTCTTATTACCGATTTGACACCGGTATAAATTGTTTATCCAAATATTCAAAAGTGTTTATTATCGGTGTCATACCGAAATAAGTCAATAAATTATTTTTATAAATAATCTCAAACACTCATTAAATTAATAAATTATTTTTATAAACAATCCCAAACATCCCTTGAACAAATTTTAAAAATTGTTTGGTGGTCAAACCGTCAAAGTGGTCTCTGATCTGCACTTTATCCATTTTCTAGACTCTGCTACATATTTTCCCAAGTTCTCAAACTCGGTGAAAAGGGTGACTATTAGGGTTTTGGTTTGTTTGATCATGGCCTTTGCAAGCTATTTATCATCTCTTCATGTAGAAGCATCATCAAAGCATTCTATAATAGCTTCTTCTGTTTCAATTTCTCCACAATTCTCATTACCATTATCATCGTCGTCCTCATTTTCATCTTCTTCCGTCAACCGGGAATCTCGAAAGCTTTCGATTTTTCCGAATACAGTCAGAATTGGTCCCACAGGTACCTTTCGTACAAATATGATTCACTTTTGTTTAATTATGCTTTTTGTTTCTTATTGTTGTTGAGTTTTTGGGAAATGTAATGGAATTTGTTCCTCGACTTTTACTTTAAATGTCGGTAATCGATTGACTTGAATCAGTAGCTAATTGCTTGTGAAATTGGTTGAAAGTTTGGGTTTTATGGTGATAGCCTTGAACATTGATCTTTGATCGTAGACTCGTAGTATTTACTTTTTTCCATTAAAAGTGAACGTAGTTCTATAAAATTGTTTGACCATTGGTCAAAACCCCAAATGTTCTCCTGTAATGAAGAAACAAACCTCCAAAAACCTGCCAAATAAAAGGATCATCAATCTTGGAACCAGTCAATGGCATCAATACTGTGTAGTTATGAAATACCGTGGACCAAAAATGTAAGCCATTTGTAGCAAATCAAATCTTGTGGACCAACAATGATATCAATGGCTAGATAATTCTGAAAAAAAGGAAATGTTGCAATTTTCTTTAGGTATGCCAAAATAGAAGGTGTTACAATTTTGATGGGACTTTGAGAGTACCATTTAAAAATTTCTAGACGTAACTTTTGTTTGGATGGGATTTCAAGTTATAGGTAACTCATCCATGCTATAATTGGGGTATGTTTGGTTTCTGTGTCTTGGATTGGAGGTGGAGTAAGAGGAAATCAGGTTATAATTTAAACTAAATGAGCTCCGATTCTTTCTTCTTTTTTTTTTTTTTTTGAAAAAAATGAGCTCCCATTCTAAATCCAAAACCTTGATTTCTGTTCTAGGAAAATCATAAAACCATAGGAAAGCTACTGCCATTGAATCTCTTTTGGATTACTAGCTTCTCCTCAATAGAGCAATAGCAGATGGACCTAAATGAATAAGTTTCAGGAACATTTTCAAAAATAAGTCTTCATGGATTGTCAGCCTCTGCATATCTTTTCTCTTGATGCAGTTTGAGTTTGAGTAGAATTTATGGTTTTGCTTCTTCTTATTAATGATCATATCAGTTTTTTGCTTCTATCTTTTTATGCTTCCCTGGGAAAGCGGCATATGGTGGTTTCATACATGACTTAAACCAAGGCTCAACTGACTAGATTTTATAGGGGTAAAAAAATTCCTTCTAAACCTGAGTAAAGATTCCAATTTCAAAGTGGATTTCGTCATGAAATGGTATAAATGATTTTGTTGGGGCTACTTTCGCACATGCTCCCTTTTAATCTATGTTTTGCAAGCTGGGGGTCTTCATAAAACAGTTCTCTACCCCTTGGGTTAGAGGCAAGATCTGTGTGTATATATTGCCTCCAACCCTACCTCTGTGTGGGGTATACAGGATTCGTTTGGTTTGCCAGGGTGTACTTTTGATGACCTGTAACCCTGCCGTAGGAGTTCATTAGTCTTCCGAAGGTAGTCGTAACTACTAACTAGAACCCAAAAAGACAAACAGATAAAATAGAAAAAAATCCCATTGATTATAGCCACTTGTTGGTTTATGAAAATAATAGAACAAGAAAAATGCAAGCTATAAACAAATAGATTGCTATCTAATAGTGAAAGTTTTGAAACTTGTTCACCTCTGCCTGCTTCGATGTTTCACATACGTGTGAAACAATTTTCACCTCTTATTTTCTTGTTTTTATGACATTTCAGGATTGATAAGTTCAAACAAGCAATCCCAGTTTTGTAGGTGTGGACAAAATTTTCAAGTTTATGACAGTGGTCTATTGACCAAGCTCCTTGCATCTATGTGCTTATACTTAACGGCAATAGGTTATTTTGTTGTTGGATGAATTCTTATTGTTGTATATGAATCGTTTCAGTTAAGGTCAAACCACAAGCTGGTGGTGTCAATTCAGTTGCTGAGGCTTTTACTGAGTTCAAGCACCTTCTTCTACCAATAACAGATCGGAATCCTTATCTCTCTGAAGGGACTAGACAGGTGTTATTGTCTTTTTCTACACCACCCTTAGAGAAAATTAAATAAATGAAAACAAAAGGCATGCATGCACACACACACAGAAACACACTTTTCTTGACCAACTTCCGTAACATCATTAGTCAATTATCTTCTAATAGTATCCACTGTTCATTTTCGCTCCATCTCCTGATATTTGAGATCGTCTCAATCAATGCATTGTTTCTTCTTAGCTTCAAAACCATTCCACTCTTAGCTAGGATATTTCCTCATGCTCATCCAGAATAGCCATCAAAGTCATATGGTGAACTGATTTTCTTACATGGCCTGTGGCAGTTAAACTACATCAGCTTGAATTTTGATCAATGCATCACATATGTTGCGTTACCGTTGCATCAGCCAATCAAATCTGGTCTCTGATATTTGGTCGATGGTACAAAATTGATTGGAACCAATATTTTTTCAAGTTAAATTGGATATTGGATGGAATTCCGAAGTAGAAGCAAGTCTTGATACACACATAGAGAAAGCTGCTATCTCTATTCAACTACATTTGAAGATTGATCTTCTTCATGAAGTGAATGTAGTAAGCAAAGGAAAAAAGATAATATCTCACTAGTGGAACTGTGGCTCTTGTTTTGACTTTCTAGTAGCATGAATTCCCTATCCTCCATCTTTACTCTTTCGTCTTTCTTGTTGGCCTGCAATCTACATCAATACAATATTACATGTTAAAGGTTGATTTCTCTTTATAAATTGGAACATTAAGGTCATTTAAAGAAATTGTTTGATGTACTTATCTTACGTTGTTGCTTTAAAAATTAAAATCCTATTAGAATTCTCATAGGAGGTTGACTAACCTTTCTTTACAATCTTTTTCTCCTTTATTTATATTTCGTTTACAACTCAATTCTCTTGCATTCAAATATCTTAACAGGCTGCAGCAACCACAGCTGCTTTGGCAAAGAAGTATGGTGCCGACATCACTGTTGTGGGTATGTCTCTTAAACATCCTTATTGAAAACCAACTTGTAAAGATAACTTCATATATGCAAACTCTTGTGAACTAATAACTGAAGTTGCATATACTATTTTTCTGTAGTTATTGATGAAAAGCTGAAAGAATCACTGCCGGAGCACGATACTCAGCTTTCAAGCATCCGCTGGCATTTGTCTGAAGGTAGGCTTGCCCTCTTAAGTATGTTGCCCAAATGTTTTTGACTTAGGGGCTGTTTGTCTACTGCTGACCACTGCTGATTCGATCAGCACACCTGACCACTGCTGTTTACCTACTGCTAACCGAGCACCTACCCGGCCAACGTTATTATTTCACTTACCGGGTCATTTTACATATGTTTTCCAGGCCTACCCTTTTAGTGATTAGGGTTTGTCATTTAACATTTAATTAAATAGAGGGTTATAACGTTAACTTTTTTATTGGTAAACACTTGCTAAACAACCATTTTCAGTCAACGCTTACCCAGACTGCCGCTGTTACCAGGTTAACACTTAGGTGGTGTTTGTTTTTTAAGTGGTGCTCTTGGTTTTAAAAAGCGTGATGCGGTCCGATGCGTTAAGGGTCCCGGAAGCCGATGCGTGATGCTGATGCGCTCGCATCACACACGTGATGCGCCCGGTATTCAAAAAATATTTATAAATTAATTCTACATATCAATTTCTACCTTAAAAATACTTACCTATCAAAATACTTCATTTATAACATAAAGTAGTTAAAAAGTGGCATTATAATCTTAAAAAGTTCGTTTTCTACTTCTTTGCTGGTTGTCGAGTATCGACAACAACTCACGTCATGTTTTAATTGATATGCGATGCTAGGTCTCTCACAGTGCGACTTCTACTTCTTCACTGTCGGCTTCTTCTATTAGGTCTCTCATAGTCTCACGTTCTATTTTACTTGACTAAGAAGCCCAACTAAAAACTGAAAAAGGGAGCCCAAAAATACAACATACATGATGTGTTGATGCATAAGTGATGCACGCATCGTGTGATGCGTAGGTGATGCGAGCGCATCATGGAATCGCAACGCATCAGACCCTTTGATGCGTTTTCTTCTGCGCATCACGCATCACAGCGCATAATGCGCGCATTTTTAAACCAAGTGGTGCTGAAGTCTTATTTCACTTCTGATTCATAAGAGGTGGTGCTGAAGTCTTATTTCACTTCTGATTTATAAGAGGTGGTGCCGAAGTCTAAAATCTGAATCAACAAGACTGACTGTTTTTGTAAACATCGGAATTTGTTTAAATTGTCTATTTTACCCATTAAAAATTTACAGTGTTGAACTTATAGATAAATTTATACAATTTCACATATTTATTCACTATTATTACAAAATTTACATCTACATTACATAATTAACATTCATTTAAACTAAAATATGTCATTTAACGGTATTTAACACATTTAAATTCTATTAAAATACATCAATTGAGAGAAGTGATGATTGATTTCGTAAGGATCAATTGAGAGAAATGATCGATTAAGGTTAATCGATTGATAAACGCCGTTGTTGAAGGTTTGAAGAACAATAAGAGGCAATAAGAGGTTGGTTTACCTCTTACCATATAAGAAGACAATAAGACATAAGTGCCTCTGAAAAATTGCAAAAACAAACCGTCTAAATGGCCCTAACTCGTAACGAATCAGACATAAGATGCTGATAAGAGCTTTTTTATAGAAAATAGACAAGGCCTTACCCAATTTGTGTTGGTAAAGGACCCTTTAGTTCTGAAATATAATGTCATGGAGCTATCTATACGGTTAGAACATGGTGGAACCAATTATCCGGTTGTAAATTGGTACGAAATAGGACGAGTTTTAATATGATAGAAATAGGTGCAGCATGGATCGACTTTCCATATCTACCAACTCTTATGGACTTGAGCTACGTAAGTACACCCTTAAATATTCATATTGGATATGGAGTATAATTGAGTCAGTACACTGGAGGACAACCTCATGGTCTAACTTTTTGTAATAGGAATGTAAGATCCGTATCAAAATAGGCTTAGATGTAAAGAAATTCCTGACTAATATCATGTGTGGGAGATGATTGATCCCAACTGTTCATGCATTCGTCTAAATCACCTTCATTTCTCGCTTTCACACACTACAAGCTGGGGGTCTTCATGGAAACAGCTGCCCTACTCTTTTGAGTAGAGGTCGTTTCTGCGTACATCTTGCTCCTCCCAAACCCCACCTTGGGGTGAGACATACGGGGTTGGGTTTGGTTTAAGTTCTCTTCAACTATAACCAAAGCCCAGTTTGTTTGCTTAGTTCATTTAACATTTTGTGTTTTGTGGTCCCTTATTTTATGTGGGTAGGAGAAATGAAGATGGAACCTATTAAACAATGAATGGAGAATGAAGGGAAGTTTCACAAATGAATATAACCTTAGTCGTAGTATTCTCGTCCCAAACACTTGTTTTATTGATTTTGATTGATGAATGTTGGACCTTTCCCCTTAAAAAAGGCGGGTTCCAGGAATTCAAGCTTTTAGAGCGACTGGGAGAAGGGAGCAAACCGACAGCAATAATAGGCGAGATTGCAGATGATATGAATTTAGACTTGGTTATTATGAGCATGGAAGCAATCCATTCGAAGCATGTGGATGCAAACCTGCTAGCCGAGTTCATTCCCTGCCCTGTCATTCTTCTTCCATTGTAGAACCAGTCTCTTCTACCCAACTTTGTAACTCTTAACTCTCTTCTTATAAGGTACTCCCCATCTCCCAAATGCTAAGTCTTCTTTATGATCATTCATCTTCCTTACCAAATTGTTGGTTGAGGTTAGAGATGCTCAAAGAAGCCCAAAAAGCATGGGTCTGGTGAACCTGAAGCCCGGTCCCGACCGAGCCGAAATATTGGCAGCATGTTAGATTTATCTTCTGCCTAAATTTTAGACTAAATCAGCAGCCTTTTCTTTTAAGTTCTTATTTTTCTATAGTTCTTTTAGACTGAGCAAGCTTTATCGTTTCTTTTTGCACACTTTTCACAAGCTGGGGTCTTCTGCTCTTCGAGATAGGGGCCATGTCTGCTACATCCCACCTCTGGGTGGGATAGTACCGTCAATGTTTGGTTTGGCTTGGTTTTTGGATTGAACTAGGTTGAGTTGAGTGGTTGACCCCTCTCTTTTGGTGAATGGTGAGGTTTGAACCCTCGAGTTTGACCTCTGTTGTATCCTTCCCTCTGACAGGCGTTTAAGTTTTTCGTTAAGTGATGCACATATTTGTTTTGTTATCGATTATTTTGTGTTTTATCCCATCTGAAAACGATTTAATGATTTTGGAAGTTGAAAGTAGTTATCAAGACACCATTGGGTATGAATTATGGTATCCCTCCAAGGTGTATTTAGAGAGATGGAATTAACGGATGGAGAACAATTTTGGTGTAATTTCTTTAAACTCAAAGAAGTGATTACGTCCAATTTATTACTTGTTTTTCTTCTCTTGTTTAAACACCTTTAATTATTACTTTTATAAACAAACATTTTATTTAAATGGAGGGACAATTAAATATGAAATCAAACGATTGTTATTTTGCATACAACCAACCGATTTTGGAGATTTGTTGGGGCCGGTTGAGAAATTTCGATTTCGTGTGTAAAGATTTGAAATTAGTATGTTTGGTTTGTAGAATTAGGATAGATTCGACGAAAGAGGCAGGTAGAGATGTGATTGGAACAATTGAAATCCCTAAAGTTCGAACTTGAAATGTGTCATCTTTAAGGGATCTCTAGATCCGTTGTTTGTAGGGTTTCATTGGAATTCTGGGATTTCAAATCTAAATTTTTCTTCAAACCAAACACATCATGACGGGGATGGAGTTCGATTTCAAATCCCGTAAAAGAGATAGGGCCCAAGTGACTCAAAGGCCAAAGCCAGAGGCAAACGTGCGAGTTCCCCATTAGAATAACACCACAAACTTATGTTGTCTTTGTTGCCATTGAGTTGGGAGGAGTGGTATTCAATATTATCTATAGGGATCTCATTCACCTGTAGATGTCAATTTCGTTGGTGAATGGTTCACATGCCGATATCACGAATGGAGGAATATTGATGGTAGACCGGAGTCATCTGCACCTTGGCTTCCTTGGCCATATTCATGTGGTTTTGAATCACTTTTCAGACGTGAGCACACTTGCAATGGTTTGAGTTCTATTCTTTAAACAGTTAAACACCATAATAATTACTCTAGAAAATGCATACATGTAAATACCCTTTTCACCATCCACATGATAATTTTTAAAAAAAAATCATCCTTTTAAATAGTGCAATTACCAATTTACCCTTTATGTAATAGCCAATGCCAGTAGATTTTGTGCAACATTTGCATTTCCAAGAGACGAGTCGTCTAATTTATTGCACCTTGGCCAATTCATTTAATTTCAAAGGCAAAGTACCAATTGTTGAATTACCTTGTCATGTTTTCGGGACCTTTGTCAGAACAGATCTAGAAATATTTTTCAAGATTTGTTATAAACAATGCATAAGCGGTTCTCTGTAACATTCTAATGTTTTTATCTTTTTTTCTTGTTCACGACCAAAATAATTTATAGAAAGTCAAAAAGCCAATAGAATTTGGATATCTGACCTATAATGTCACATGTAATGACGCTACTGGTAAGGTGTAGCCATTTTTTTTTAACTTAAGAGAGTACACATCAATTTAAGGCAGATGCACCTTTAAAACTTTTACTTTGTTCCTATTGTGTCGAGAAGGTTGAGTGGGGGCACATGCACCCTGTACCTCATACTGCCGTTTGCCCCACAAATAAACGACAAGCCATATGTAGGTACGTCTTGCTTTGTGCTTTTAACTCTTGTTCTATCCAAGTTTTCAGTTGTTTCAATATTTGTTAAAAGAATGATTTTAATAGAAATGTAAAAATATCAATTACATTTTCATGTTTTTAAATCAACTGATTTTTTTTTTAATATCAGATATTTTTTAGAACGAATATAACAATTAAGACATTTGCGTCTATTTAGGACAATCTTTTGAATTTTTAACAAATGAACATATAAATAGTCGATAAAATGTTTTGTATCTCGACTATCACTAAGGCTTAAGCATTTGAGATTCTTTTTAAAGGTCACTCGTTCGAGTCCTGCAAGATCGTTGTGGATTTTCGTAGCTATTCTTCAGAACTTTTGGAATAGTTGAGGTATGCAGAATCTGACATGAACACCCACTGTTAACATAAAAGAAAGTATTTTCTATCTTTGAAGCATGATTGTAATAACTCGTCCCACATGGATGGAAGATGAGAATTGTTATCATCTTATAAGTCTCAAGTAATGGGCTGCCAATAACTTCTACCATGGTTTTAAGTTGGATTCGATGCTATTGGTCAGTCTGTTGCTTTAGGTTTTGGAGGTGTTACAAATGGTAGCAAAACCGATTCTTGAATCATCGGGATGATGGGCCAAACCTCATTGAGGTGTTACAATGATAATATATAAACATCATATGTAATACATATTTTAAAACAATAATTTTAGCACGTTTGAAAAGGAAGAATTTCTACATGACATGAATAAATACAAAACATAAGTAGTTAACTACATGTGTTTATATATATATATATATATATATATATATATGTGTGTGTGTGTGTGTGTGTGTGTATGTATATGGGGTGTCAGTAGGGTTGTAAACGAATCAAACATTAACATCATTAATTAAATTAAATTCTTAGAATTTTTTTTATCCCACCTATATTTATCTGATTTTTCATTTTGTTGTGTTATTTTTTAGGAATAAGATGATGAGTGATGGTGGTTGCTCTTTATTCATTTATGTTCGTTTAACATCTTTACAAATGAACATAAACAAACACGATCACGAACACAAACACGAACAAGCACAAGCACATTTTCTTTCTTAATGAATGAACATGAACACAAAAAGTTTCATTCGTTTACTATTCGTGTTTGTTCGGTTAAGTTAAACGAACGAACACGAACAAACTTTCGTTCGTGATCGTTTGGTTCTTTTACAGCCCTAGGTGTGTGTGAAGGGTTAATTATATGAGAACCACAAAAATATAATAAATATAAGAATAAGTGCATCATGTGTTATTTTACATGATTTGTCTTTATATAAAACCAAGATTTAAGGTATTGTTTAACTTATATTTATTTCACACACACACACACACACACACACATATATATATATATATATAGAGAGAGAGAGAGAGAGAGAGAGAGAGGTTTCAACGATAACAATAACCAAATAAGAGAATACGAAAACAGCCAAATCATATGTAAAGTCACATATGATTTTAGTCATTTTACAGTAATGATCAACCCAAAGGTGTGCAAGTGACCTGCCCCGCAACCTGAGGTCACGATCAAAATCGCGTGAATCACATATGATTTTAGTGTAAAATCACATCTGATTCGACCATTTTTTTTTATCTTATTTGGTTATTATTCTCGTATAAATATGACTCTCTCTCTCTGTGTATTTTATATATATATATATATATATATATATATATAGGGAAGAGTTCAAACGAAAACACCTTCATTTTACGAGAACGCAAGAACACCCTTTTACTATAGACAATCACATGTGATACTATTATTTCATACCATATGATACACATGTGATACTAAATCAGAGACGCGGGCGATTTTCGACGCGATCTTGGTTGCGGGCCAAGTCGCCCTTACACCACTAAGCCCCCTCACAAGTATTATCACATATGATAAGGTTGTTGTTGATATGATACTATAATCCATCAAAATCATCACATGTGATGCTAAACTAAGACACAAACAACCTTTGGCACGACCTAAGTCGTAGAACACGTCGTCCACACATCACATGGTCCCCTCATGCATATTATCACATGTGATAAGAGTGTTCTCATGTTCGCGTAAAATGAAGGTGTTCTCGTTTGAACCTCCACCTATATATATACATACATATATATACATATATATATATATATATATATATAGGAGCCTAATCAAATGAGAACTGATTAGTTTGTGGTAACTGTGAGGTCCAATCTCAACCACAAAACAAATGATAAATTAGGAAATTAATAATTATGGTTGTTTGAATTAAAATTATAATTAGAGGGCATATTAGGTATTTTTTAAAAACTCCTCTCTCCTCTCTTCTCTCTCATCTTTCCAACCTCCAATCTCCGGCTTCCGGTGAAATCGGTATCACAGTATATCACAGTGGGTATCACATTGTGTATTACAATGAGTATCACATTGTGTATTTTGGTTTTTAAGGTTTGAGTTGGTATCATAGTTGGTATCACAATGGTATCACAGTATATCACAATGGGTATCACATTATGTATCTTTGTGATTACTTGGTACTCGCCGGATTAATGTTCACGGGAGGCCGGAGATTGGAGGTCGGAGAGACGAGAAAGGAGAGAGGAGAGAGAAGTTTTTAGAAAATACCTAAAATGCCCTCTAATTATAATATTAACTCAACTACCATAATTATTAATTTTCTAATTTATCCGTTGATTTGTGGTTGAAATTGATTCTCACAGTTACCACAAACTAATCAGTTCTCCCTTGAATGGACCCATATATATATGTATATATATACATATATATATGTATATATATATATATATATATATATATATATATATATATATATATATATATATATATATATATATATATATAGAAAAACTAATCTCAACTACTAATTGAGTTCAATCTATAATTATGAAAGATAATGATATTTTTTAATGTGAAAATAATCTTTAAGGAAATGGTTTGTTGATCCTTTTAGTCTATCACCATATCTTCTTTAATTTTCTAAAGTAAATCATGAAATATATTCTCATTTTCTCTTGAATATAATTTCTTTCATTTTACCTTACATTTCACGACAACCACACATTTTTTCACATTGTGAAACAACATAAATCGTTTCATATTGTGTTGTTTCAATATGTGAA